TACTTGCACTATTATTGTGAGTATATGTGAATTTTGTAGCAGAGAAGTGAAAGAGTTGGAATGTATCTTTGAAGTTGTGATGTTTGAGGTTTTTGAGGAGTTGGTTTTCTAGAATATTGTATTTTTTTTGTAGTAGTCTATCAATTTTGGGATTTGGAGTACCATTTAAGTCACCCATGATTATGATTTATGTTGGGAAGATTGGAGGATTGGAGTGAGGTATGTTAGAATTTCTTTGCGAAAGAGTTTTTTCTCTTGTATAGAAAAGTAGATTTGGATAAGTTTGATTGGGTTATTTTTAAAGTGTAGATCTATTTCTATTAAGAAGTTTTTGAAGATCTGAATTTTCCCTATATATTTTGCTATATGTTTGTGAATTATAATTCCTACACCACCTTGTCTACAGTCACATAGTACCCATAGATTTTGGTAGTTAGTAAGGTTTTTGGATATTGTGGAAAATTTGGATTCCTTAGAACTAAGGTGAGTTTCGAAGATTCCAAATATGTCAATTTGATTTTCTAGGATATGGTCAATAAGGCTTAGTTGTTTGTAATCTTCTAGTAATCTATTTGTGTTAAGTGAGTGAATTTTAAGTGAATGAGCTTGTATTTCTTGATCTAGCTGAAGAGAATTTAAAGTTGAAGAATTGTTAGGAGAAAAGTTGTAGTTAGATTGAAGAAAGATGTTTGTGTCAATCTGTGGAGTTTTGATTTTTGTGCAGATAGGTAGGTTGTTAAATTTGCAGTAGTGTAGTAGTATAAGTAAGTTATAGTTAGGTAAGAGTAGTTCATTTGTGTTAGTATAAATATGAGTTTCTGTTTTTTGTTTGTTAATTGAGATTTTGAGTGGGTATGAGAATAATAGGTTTTGAAGATGTTTTATAAAGAACCCCAGAGTTATATTTTTATTTATTTGAGGCAAATTGTGATTTAAAAGAAAGATGTTAAAGCAGGTAATTTCTTCAGTGTGGAATGAAGTATTGGTAACTGAAGGAAGAGGATTAACTTCTGTAGAATCACTTGCTGTATACCTGGTTTTCACAGTTGTGCAAGAGTCCAAAGCCTGTCCTGTACATTGGATCTAGCTGTTATGATATTGGTCTTCTACGTTACAAATAAAAATTAATTCTAAATAACTTAATAAGAATAAAAAAAATTTAGAAAATTAATTATAACTAGTTATAATAAAACCTATTTTAGTTCTAGATTAGATTAATCTTTTAAAAGAATAATGCTACAAATAAAACATATAAATATACCAGACTAGACTAATATATATATCAGACTAGACTAATTTATCCCTACTTGCAATATAAAAATAAATAATCAAATTAATTAATTAATATGAATTTTTTTATTCAAAATTCTCATTGCAATACAGGTTTAATTTTATAAATATATTTTTTATTTATAATTTTATACAAAAAAATTATTAATTTGTTAACAAAAAGTCTTTTGGAACTATGAAATTATATGTAATAACTCCAAAAGGTTGTTAATAAAGATCCAACTGAAATTATTTAGAAATATCGAGTCTAATTTGAGCAAAATCAGCTCAAGACAAATCTATATGAAAAACATTTTTTTTAATTTTAAATATCAATTAAAATTTACAGGTAAATTTTTAAAAACAAATTAATTACCTTTGTTGATTACACTTGAAATTAATCTTGTACTAATAATTTTGCTGATATACATGTAATTCAGATGGCTTGGTGAGATAATTGGTAATGTTTTAATGATTTTATCAGCATCTAAGAATTGCTTTTTAATTTTATTTTCATCTGAACTTGCTATTTTCTCAAGCTAATCAGCAATAGTTTTATAAATACTATTATCACCCAAATAAGCTCTAGGCTGTTTTTGTGAATTAGAATGCATGTATCGCTTAGTAGGCTGTGTCCTATCAGTCAATTTACAAACATAGTACACATGATATAGTGATAATCACTAATAAAGATTTTTATAATAAATTTTTTGGATCTGCACTCTATATTAAATGGTTATAAAAAAAAGGCTTTACTTCGCTTTTAATTACTCTTGTAATACTTAATATTTTTTAATTCTATAAAAGTGAAACACTTAATAAAAGTTGTCTTTTCATAGTAATAACGTTAGAATTTTTATTTTACTAATTATAATAGACATTTTTTTTACAGTAAGTTAGTTTATATTAAAAATCATATGATAGATCTTTCATGTTGCATATAGAAGATAACGATATAAACTTGGATACGCCTTGTTTCACCGACACTCATTTCATAGACACAACACTTTACCGACAAACCATTCACCGACATGCTTATTTTACTGACACTCAAATCACCGACAATTGATTCAACGACATGTTTATTTCACCGACATATTTATTTCACCAACACTTAATGCACCGACAATCAATTCACTGACATGCTTAATTTACTGACAAGCTTACTACACTGACAGTACAATTCGCTGACAATTAATTTACTGACAAGTTTAGTTCACAGACAGCTTAGTTCACTGACAAACAATTCACCGACAATTAATTCAACTACACTTAATTTACCTACACTTAATTCACTGACAATTAATTAATCGGTATTTAATTCACTGATAATCAATTAATTAATAGGCCTATTTCGTTAATTAGTAAAAAAACAACTAATTTAACTTAATTATACATGAATGCATAGTATAAAAACTTATATATATATTAAATATATATATATATATATATATATATTGCTTATGTAAAATAAAAAAAGTGATATCTAACCTTAATTGTATGAGACAAGCACAACGCAAACACCTTTGACTCGTTTTATGTAAGTTAGGATTAATAAAAAAATAAATAAAAGTGAATTATTTATGAGAAAATAAGAAAAACGATACTTGAACTTAATTATGACAAATTCTTAATTTATTTTATGTAAAAAAGTTAGAATTAATAAAAAGTAAATGAAAGTGAAATATTTATGAGAAAATAAGAAAAGCGATACCTGAACATAATTTCTTAATTTACAGTGAGCTGTCATATTATTGTGAACACTTAATTATTAAAATTGGGTAATATACGTAGCACAAAATTTATATCACGTATATGGTAAATTTCAATTAGGGTAGGAAACGAACCAGCCTATTCCCCACTTTAATCTCAATCAGCAGAAGTTACAGTATTAGGGAAAAAAAGTTATATTTGTACAATGGGTCAGGTGCAATTGACAAGAAAAGTAAGATCATCTTTTTTTTCCTTACAAAAACTATAGTAGTAAGAAGACTTAGCTGATGAATGAATAAAACTCTATGATCTAGGGGATTTTGTTTGTTCTAATTTGCTGAGTTAACTGTGATAAGTTTGTTGCATAAAAGGTAATAAAAGAGCTTCATAAGGCAGGTACCTTGAAGGGGCAAAAAAAAGAGAAAAAAAAAGACCCGGACGTTCAAGATCATATACCTTTTTCAACTTCCCCAGTCTAAAGAGTCTAATCGCCAACAAAAAACCATCACCCTTTTCAAATACTAACAAAAAAAAAAAAAACTAAAAACTAAAAATACCAACCCATTCTGTATATTGCATGAAGAAGACTTAAGATCTTGAATTGCCTCTTAAGCTATTCTCCTAGTCTTGTGCCTATGAAGACTAGTCTTTTTGAAACTTTAATGTATTTTGTAGTCTGATAAAACAACAATTTGTTTTTTTTAAGGCTCTTCTATTGGATTTGGAGACAAGTCACGTAAGGTATAAGTATAGTTGCTGGAGAATTAATTTTCGAAAAAAAGCAATTACGGCACTGAACCAAGATTTTGCTGTATTGCCGTATTCTATAATGCTGTAATGTTATAATGTCATAATGCAGTAATCAGTGTTATAAATTCAAAAAATTTTTATTAGAACAAATGTAAAAAAAAAAAAATGCACAAAGAAAAAAATTTATACACGCAATATATATACAGGAAGCACTGATATATGCATAAATTTAAATCTATGTATGCTGCGCCTACTGCGCTGATTCAATAATATCGTAATGCCATATAAACTTATAGGCGAAAATCTTCACTTTTACGTTTTTTTTTTTTTTGATTATTTGACTTGATCATATATTGAGTATCGCTAAGAGAAACCAGATTTCAGGATTACAGGTTTATTTCTTGTCAAATTTAATTACTATAAACTCTAATATACTTGAACTGATAAATAAACTTCAAAGCCTGAAGTCTGATTTCTCTCACAATTTAAGAGGGCTGTGTTACAAAAATTACTTTACATTTCAAATTATTTTCTTTACTTAAAGCTTCTGTAACTTAGATTTCATACAATTTTCTAATGATGAATAAATTAACTGCATTAGACAATCGCAATTCAATATCCTTGACCTTCTAAAGATTATTTATTAATTCGAATCCAGATTAATTTTATTAGCAGGATCTCTATATTTTTATTTGACAGTCCTGAATTTATATAGCACTTTGCAAAATGGGAAAATTCTTTAATAGAGAATCTAAATTAAAATTTAACTGATTTCAAGTATGATTGCAAATTAGCATTAGGAATTGGAACCACCTAGAATTTCTTTAATCGTTTAATCATATCGATATTAACTGTTTAACTTAGCTGACCTTAATTATATACAGAAAAGCATATAAAAGTGCATATTAGTACATGTATTATTGCACAGAATTTGCACCTTTTATGTGTTTTAACATAGCTGTCTCATGTATATTTACATATAGTTCTGTGCTCAAAATTTCTATGTTTCGTGTAGTTATTTGTTATATAGTTATAAGAGTATGTTATTAGGAAAAGTGTACTTATAAAAAATATATTTATGAAATCTTTATTTTTAATGACCAGTATAGCAATAAAAGCAAACAAATAATAATACTCAAGTATTTTATTTATGCAAAATCTTAAAATATCCAATATATATATCTAAAACAAAAAAATAAAATAAAATAAAATTTGAAAAAAATATATATAATAAAATTTTTTTTTAAAAAAATAATAAATTGCTAATTCTAAAAATAGACATTGTGAGCAATGCCTCTAAGATATTCCATAAGAGACCAATTATCACGATCATTAAACACTACTTGAATACGTTGTTCATGTTCTACAATATGTTTTCTTTGTTGTGGTCTTGGAGCACCTCTTAAAACTGCCTCAATACTGACTTCAACATTAGTTTGTTCCTTCTGAATTTCTTTAATTATTTTAAAAACCCCTGCATGCGCACAGTTTACCAATGTTTCCCACCTCCGATGCCACCCTTCAACTGAATTCTGGGTTCTTGGAAAAGCAAATTCCATATTATTACATACAGACCAGAATTTGGGTGGGAATAGTGGCTCTGACCGAATTTCAGTACCATTTCTATGTACACGTCTTATTTTACCATGAACGTAGTATTCCTCAAACCACTTAATAATATCATTAGCCTCAGCTGGAATATGAGTCTTCAATTCATCAAAAGCAGCAGGTATTTCATTATGTGGCAAAAAAGCAAGAGCAGGAATATGCCTTATTAATATACTAAAATTTTCATCTGTCCCGTATCTTATAGCAAGTCCAGATGTTTGAATTCTGCGATAAATACTTTGAGAGAGATGAAAATAGCATCTTAAATTTTTCAAAAATTTAATTATATAAAAACCTGAATATCTTATGCATAGTAACTATGTAGTAACTTAAATTTAATAGTAACTATATAGTTACTACATAGTTACTGCGCTTTAAGATATCCAGATCTCTAAATGATTAATAAATACAATATTTAGTACAATTTGTAAAAAAAAATTTATTTAATAATTAAAAAAAAATATTCGCATACCCTTTGTGCTGAACATTATCAAATTCTAATTGAATAGCATTAATGACAGCTGATTCAAAGTCAGTTAAAACTACTTGTGGACACAAATCAATATCGTGCTCTTCACTAAAGTCTATAAGACTTTGAAATAAAATTATTTCAAGTGTAAAAGAAAATGCATTTAGAACCTCTGAAAAACCTACACAACTAGTGCAAGCAGCAATTGCTAGCAGCTCTCAGAATGTATATCCATACCTTCCTTCATTTAATGCAATTCGCCAAACTGTACAAAGAATTCGACACCTTGATCTTCCTGCAGAACCATTATCCTTTGAGAGTTTAGTTATTCCTGAATATATGAAAAAAACTCTGAATGGGTCAGATTTTTTGATTAATGATCTTGTTATCAGTCAGAATAAAATGTTAATTTTTACAACTATTGATAACATTCGTCACTTGAATCGTTCACCTTTTTGGATTATGGATGGGACTTTTAAAACAGTCCCAAACATTTTTAAACAATTATATACAATTCATGGTATCTTTTTAGTATCTTTTTTTTTTATTTTTTATTTTATTTTTTTTTATTTTTTTTTTATAGCATGATATACTATTTTAGGATCTGTTGGCGGCAATGAAAATTCAAGGACTATGCCTTTGGTTTTTGCTTTAATGG